TATATATATATATATATAAACTACATATATATATACAGTTTTTATATATACATATATATATATAAACTGTATATATACACTATATATATATATATATATATGTATTTATGTATTTATATGTGTGTATATGACTTAGGTAATATCAATTTATTTAGTTATTTTCTAACTTTAAAGACATTTTGTAATGAAAATAAATCAGTAACACATTTAAATAAATATTTTATTTCCTTTGCATTCCTTTCTTTTTGCTGTAATCAGACGCTTTCCTCACATCGTACCTTAACATGTACCTTCTACTCTTTGGGACCATAACTGCACACACAGGTCCAACTAAACTGTACTCCTCCTCCACCTTACTGTGTGCAGTCGCAGCGTAACTGCGCCAAAAGGTCCAAACACTTGACGCAAATTTGCACCGATTACTAGTTCTTACAGGAGCACATCTTTGCGCCATTTATTTAGTGAACCACCTCTTCCTCTGAGTCTGTGACTGCTGGGAATCCTGGAAATGACGGTTTCACTGGGAATGGGTGTAACGACGCGTGAGCGCTTTCTTGGACGAGGCTCTCCGGGAATCGCGCTCAGCTTGAGGAGCGCTTCTCCACGCAGGGACACAGACCACCTCTGAAGGAACAGTGCACCTCCCTGCTCTCCCCCCCACAAACACAGCCTTGCATGTGACAGATAAAAGCCTCACCTAGCAGTGGTTTAGGTGCGGTATTCCCCATTATATCCAGAAATCCCTCGCGCCGGCTGACAACTGAGCTGCTAGGTTTTGTCCCTGTCCATCCATGTGTCCTCGGTGAGTCCCTGTCTTGATGCGTTCAGCTGGAGCATGGACAGGCTCTCCTTAATGTCAGCTCCCGAGTTGCTGCGACAGGCACACACCTCCAACTGGCGCACAGCAGCTCCCCGAACCCCCCGCCTCCCCTCAGTGGAGGCTCCCCTCTTGCACGACTTTAAAAACACAGTCAGCAGAGATCCCCCCCCCCTCCCACTTCCCCCTCAAAGCCCTTTTAATAATTCACTCAGAGGCTAATTTACTCCAGCTTAATGAGTGCAGCCCAGGAGATAAACATGTTTGAGGAGGAGCCTAGTGCTTTCCAAGACATTTGGATAAAACAGTCATGGAGGCAGACAACTTGAAAAAAACTGAAGAAAAAGACTATTAAAGGGATAATCTGGTCATTTTTAAAGTGACATTTGGTGAAATACACCTTATCAGCTGTGACAACAGTCATGGAACATGGCATATGAAAGTGTACAAGTCTTTCTCCGGGCCAGGCTGTTTTCTCAACCAGACTATGACCGTGCTCCTATACAGGAATGTGTTGTTGACCATTATATGCTAATGCTACTGTGTCTGCACCCCAGGAGTTGAATCAACTTTTAGACAGTGTACACTCAGCACAGACATTTGTGCACTATATATATAATAGCAACCAACTAAACAAACGGTGCCATGCAGAAGCATAGAGATGTAATATAATGTACCGTTGTTTCACATCTGATGTTTTAAGAGTTGTTTTATAAGCTGAGCAGCACGGTGGAGCAGCTGGTAGAGCTGCTGCCTCTCAGCAAGCAGGCTGCCCTGATTCAAATCTCGGTCCGGAGTCCTTTCTGGGTGGAGTTTTTACATGTTCGCTCTGTGCATGTGTGGGTTTTCTCCACGTACTCCTCCTATAGACCAAAAACATGCATGTTAGTCTGATTGGTAACTCTAAATTGTCCCTAGGTGTGAGTGAGAGAGTGAATGGTTGTTTGTCTCTATGTGTCCCTGTGATGGACTGGAGACCTGTCCAGGGTGTACCCCGCCTCTGCACAGTGATGGCTGGACATGGACACCAGTGACCCCCTGTGCCCCATAAAGGAAGAAGCGGGTGAAGTTAATGGATGGATGGATGGATGGATGGATGGATGGATGGATGGATGGATGGATGGATGGATGGATGGATGGATGGATGGATGGATGGATGGATGGATGGATGGATGGATGGATGGATGGATGGATGGATGGATGGTTTTATAAGCTTGAAAACGATAAGAAAACAGGGCCCTTGTTTAACTAGCCTTTAGCTTAGCCTGGATGAAGACTATGGCACTTTTCACCCTGTGCTCTATGACTGATGTCACGGCAGACAAACGTGGTGTCTCACCGAGATGAGATTGTTTGGAGAGTTTAGTGTTTCAGGACGGAAGACGCAAATTTTTCGTTGCAGTCTCACAAAATTCGGACCGTTTTCAAACAAGTGACCAATAACATGTGAGGTCGCAATTTCACAGACCAGCTTTCAAAAATCACTGCCTGTTCTTGTGTGCACTGCTTGCAGAACCCACACCACCACCACAGCAGCCAGCCCAATGATTTAATTTGCTGAAGTTGTTGTTTTTTTGTTTTTTTCAGCTGCTCCAATCTGCAGGGGTCGCAAAGACCAAACAAACTCCAGTGAAAGATTTGGAAATTGTTCTATGCCGGATGTTCTTCCTGGTGCAACCTAGTCCCAGACATGCAGCCTGTAGGATTCCAGTGGTTTTCTTGCTCTAATTACTTCTTTGCAGCCACTGAGCGGCAGGGCGGAGCCATTCCACCACAGCTGATCCAGATCTTGGCTAAAGACCACCTGGTGGACATAAGGACCTTGGAGTTTGTTCCTCTCACCTGGATTATTAAGTCACCTAGTGACAGCCCTGCAAACTTGATATTTGATCAAGCAAAACTACCCTTTATATTTCCTTGTTGCTCCTGACCCTCTTGACCCTCCTTGTGGACTTCAAGTCTCCTAGTGCCTGCAACACTGAAACCCTCTATGGAACCAGATCCTGGATATGACCAACCACTACATCGTCAGCCTACAAAACATCACTGGGTCAGTCTCTGAGTTCCATCATTCCACTCTCCAACTTCTCACCAAGAGCTGGCATCCACCTGCATTTCCACCCTCCTCACCAAACCTGGCAAACAAAACAGAGAAAATAAGAGATCCTTCCTTGGACATGTACCTAAAGTGTCCTTCTAAATACAAGTTACTTGCCTGACTCCAACTCCCTTCCAAAATTCATTCCCTGTATACTGTAAATAAAATCTTTGTCCATTAGTCCACACTGGTATTAAAATATAAATAAATCATGATACAGCCTCAAGATTACAAGGCAGCTGTAGTGATCACTGCGCTAACACAGACCCATTTAATTTGCTGGAGTACACTTTATGGGACCAGTTTTGGACTGGTCTTGGATGTTTTCTGTAACACACCTCTATCGTGCTTGAGATGAGTTGAAGACACCCAATTCAACCCTGTAATTGATTCTGAAGGAAAATTTGTAGCCTCTGTAACTCGCTTGGACCCTGCAAGAGCTGCAAGATTATCTGAAGGCTTTCTGGAAACTCCATCATGAGCGCTGTTCACCAGTTAGTCACAGCCCAGTGAAATCCCACCTTAAAGTACTATTTATAACTACTAACAGAACATCGCTTGAAGAAAAAAAAATCACAAGACTGTTCATGGTTCACAGTTGGATATAAAACCTATCAGAGTCAAAAGAAAAGTAAGCTCCCTAAAGGAATGCACTTAAACAGATAAGAACTCCACATTTGATAGAAGTCAAAGCTCCATGTGAGGAAATCCCCTTTTTTATCATTCTCTGTCTTCCCACAACCTTGGCTGCTGGGGCTTTTCTCTTAAGCTGTTTCCTGTCTTCTGGACCACTTGGTTCTCTGAGGGGCCATGTGTGGCCTGCGAGGCTTTGGATGAATGAGCGCATCACTGAAAAGGAGAGACTTACCGTCTCCCACAGACACCCTGAGGAGCCACAACAACCGTGTGCCGATCACTGTGAGCAATGGCTGCTCTTCGAGAAATTAAAATGGATAAATATGCTAATGCGTGCAAATCATTCCCTCTTGCTGCTAGCATAATGGCTGTAATTATTATCTGAAAGAGTGCTGCAGAGATGCAGGTTGACACGAAGCGAAGGATGGCTGACATGAGGGCAAGCATGTCTCGCCAGATTGGGTGAAGGCAGATAGAAACTAAATATAACTCCAGGACAAAAGCATTTGTTTCTGCCCCCTCAACGCTGTTTGTTTTAGCAGGATATGCTGGCTCCTTATATGAGTCTTTGGATGAATGGTGTTTGGGGTGAAGCAATGCAGAAGTGAAAAATTCCTCCGCCCTGCCTTATAGCCTCAGAAAGAAAGAGCTGCAGTAGCGGGGGAATTAACACAGGAAGTGAGTATGAGGCTGCGATGATGTTGCCAATCAGGCCTTCCCTGTAAACACGACGATGCTGCAGGAGTAAACCCCCCACCCCGATGCTTGCTGTTCTGCCTGAGAGCAGACTACAGGGTGTTAAAAGAGGCGGAATGGTTTAATTATGGTCGCCACGAGAAGCGGGCGATGATGTAACTGCAAGTTAATCTACAGGTCATCAACCACAGTAAACACCAAAAACTGGCTATAACTCAGTCAGTTTTACAGTTATTGAAATAAAATTTGGTGCAGTAGCAGTCGAGAGCCAACCCCAACACATACTAAGAGCTTCAACACAACTTGTAAAAGTTTTGTTAAAACCTATACTAGATTTCTAGACTGTACTTTTAAACATCGCAGGAGCCTCGTGCCACTCGAAAGCCAGTCTGGAGAACTGTGGATCGATTCAATTCAATTCAGTTTATTTATACAGCACCAAGTCACAACATAAGTCATCTCAGGGCACTGCACAGAAACATTCATATACATAAAAAATAATTTAACATTATTTATCTGAGGAGCAGACTGCTTTGATTTTAACTCCATCACAGACTCTCATCTTGAGCAAGCATGAAGGCGACAGTGGAAAGGAAAAACTCCCTCGTGAGGAAGAAACATTTAGCAGAACCAGGCTCAGGACAAGCAACCATCTGCTTCGACCGGCTGGGTTTGAGAGGAACAGGAAGGAGGAACAGATACACAATGGCAGGTCGAGAATCACATGTTAAGATAGAAATAATATCAAATGAAAACTATTCAGTTGTAACAATTCATTTTAAGAAATGAGGTCAATTTGTCCTAGTAGTCTATGGCAGCATAAGCCAACCCTAACTATAGGATTTATGAAAAAGGAAAGTCTTAATCCCAGTCTTAAAACTGGACAATGTTTCAGCCTCATGGACAGAAACTGGAAGTTGGTCCCACAAGAGAGGAGCCTGATAACTGAAAGATCTTCCTCCTATTCTGCTCTTGGAAACTCCAGGAACTGCAAGTAAGCCTGCAGTCTGAGATCAAAGTACTCTGTTAGGAAAATATGGAAAATAAGATCTTGACTATAAGATGGAGCTAGGTTGTTGAGAGCTTTGTAGGTTAGAAGTAAGATTTTGAATTTATTTTGTCACCGTGATAACCAACACAGTTGAGCTTGTGGGGTTTCATCAGAGGAAGAATCACAGTCTAATTAAGTTTCTTTTGGCTTCTCTCTCCTGCAGGGGTCACCACAGCGAACAAACTCCCACAAAAGATTTGACAATTATTTTACACCAGATGCCCTTCCAGATGCAACCTAGGCTCAAACCCTCAACCTCAGGATTACAAGACCGTGGCACTGACCATCAAGCTACCGCAGCCCCTGAATAGTCTGGAGCTTGTAAATTTCTCCTTCTCCTACACTCTGAAATACAGCTGTAAAGGCTTCAGCTGAACGGGTTATAAAAACAAATTCTTTATTAAAAAAAAAAAAAAAAAAACAGTCAGAAGAAGAGAATCAATAATTTTACTGATTACCTGTTGTGGCTCCTCTCATCTATGATGATTCTTCACGAGCATCAACATTATTCCAGAGCTACGACCGATGATTGTTCCGTTCCTTTTACCCACACTTGTGCCAGAACACTGAA